TCAGATACAGTATAACTGAGTAGAGTAGGTGAACCTGATAAAGCAGCATAATGTACTGCAGACCAACCCTCATAATCTAATGAACTTGTATTAATACCATACTCCTCTAATGTTTTCACCAATAATACACTACCACTAGAACATGCTAAATGAACCAATGATTGACCAGTAGCAGTAATCAAATTTATATTAAAATTATTAATAACGCTTGTCTTCTTGAGGAGTGTAGACAAAATGCCCAATCTTTCATGCTGTTTAGTAACATTTATATTTAGTAAAATGTGTTTTAGCCAGTCTTTTTTGATAGAAATATTAAATGTAGAAAATTGCATAAGTACAGGTGTATCACATGGTGATTTGAGCTTATTATACACTTCTGTAATGCAGTATTTATCAACCAACCCACTGCATAAGTAATGAAGAGAAGAGTGACCACTATAATCAGCTTCTAGTAATACTTTATATCCAAAAATATTAACCACTTTTATAATGAAACCTGATGAAGCATACTGGCATGCTATATGGAGTGGAGTTGCACCAAAACGATCTCTTTTGTTTAAATTAACATTGAAATTTTTTCTAAGATACTCTAGAAGCTCTACGCTATCACTCATAGCACAATAATGTACTATTCCACGTCTGTTAAAATCTATGCCATCTTCTGAGAAAATATCAAACATTTTAAGCTGATGAACTAATGCTACCTGTCCACTCTTACATGCTAATAATGATAAAGTGGATCCTTCTCTGTTGACCTGAGATACGTTACACTTCTTCTTTAAAAACATAATCACAAGGTCAACGTGACCACCCAGTGCTGAGTAAAGTAATCCCGTGTTACCAGAGCTATCTGCTATATCTAGATCAACATGACATTCATTAACTAGATACTGTACAATATTGAGATGGCCTTTATATGAGGCCATGTGTAAACTAATAATGCCATCATCATCACCTTGTGAAGGATCGCAATGATAAACATCAATGAGGAGCTTGAGAACATCAATGTGGCCACCATATGAAGCTGATAATGGTGGATTCCATCCATTCATACCTTCTTCTTGTGAGCCAGATTCTTCCATTAACCATTGTACTTCATCTTTTAATCCTCTCCAACATGCTTCAATGAGTGGAGTACTGGTATTCTCATACCACAAAGGATCATAAATATCTGAAAAAAAATAATAAATAACAAAGTAAAACAATTATTGTATGTTTAATTACCAATGGCAAAGTGAGAAAGCTTTCCTAATTCATTTTCTGAAAGCTATGCACAAAAAAATATCAAATAGTCAATATATTATGGTATATTTCTTATTTTACCTGCTCCATTTCATGTACGTGCTCGTTACAACTCAATTTGATAATACCAATCGCAGCCAGTGAATGACATTGCTGATTGGTAAGTGGAAAAAGAATTAAATATAAAAAATCAGGAATGGAATATTTTAACTCCATGCAACCATCATCAATTTCACAAAAATAGAATTTGTATTCTGGAATTGCAAGAGCATCAGCAATTGCTTTATGAAAGAAATATAAATCATTTAAAGTGTAATCATCATTGGCAACTTTTGCTATCATGACTTCAGTACCAGGAGCATCTAATACACCAAACTCAACACCATTCACGACTTTAATTGCTCGATCATTGTTATTTTTAAAATAATCTTTCAGTAAATCAGAGTAAGTAGACCAAATTCGTTGCACTCCTCTATTTGTTATGAAGACTTTGACCAATAGGACAACAAAATCAAAATTAAACCAGGAGACACGTTTCTCCAGTACCCCAAACAACTGATTCATCGATTTAACTTTGTCATATTCTTGGCGTAATTTATCAATGAACTGCTGCTTACGAAAACGTGGACTCAGTAGATTAATGATGTGGTACTTGATGTAATCAATTA